GTCTACATCATCTTTGTCTAGTGTTTGGATCTGGGGCTGGTGGGAATAAGGACAGATTGGAGTCTAGGATTCACGACTTAAGGTGAACAGCCTGGCATGAGCTGATGGACTGAGAAATGAATCGTTACGCCGAGATTTAAATGGTGGAAGTCAGGGGACGGGGGGGCGGATACTGGCTGGGGGAATTACTAAGGGAGCTCAGTTGTGGAACAGGTTGAGTTTGCAGGAAGTGGAGTGACATCCAAGCCGATATGTGTCACCTTAGTAGGCTTACTAGCGATGCGGGTGGTAAAACTGAAGGGGTGAGGTGAGGGGTAGACAGATAGTTTGTGTCATCAGGGCATAGAGATGGTATTGAAGAGCCGGTGGGAGTTTCATCAAGTGACCAAGGGAGGAGTGTGTAGTATGGAGTAGAGAAGGGGTCCACGGATTAGAACCGTTGAGGGACCACAACAGAGAGGGCAGTAAGAGGAGGCAGGAAGTGTATGTTATGGTATCACTGAAGGCGCCTGCGCTAGAGACGGAGGAGAGAACGCAGGAGCAGAGCAAGGTCTCGATGAGGCCTATATGTGAAGGGGAGTTTTTTTGAGGGAGGAGGGGGTGAGTCAACCGATAGGTCAGAAAGAAAATTAATTGACAAAGTACAAAATAATTTGTGTAATATTAAATACATCAAGGGGTGCAAATGATGGTTCAGAGGAGATTATTTTCAAAAACAACAAATCAAGAACACGGGGGCATAGGGCTAAAAAGATTCAACTGAACGTGAGAATAGTTTTCAAAAACTCTTCTCAGAAAAAGTTCGTATTTACGGAGACAGAAGAGTTGATGCTTGGAGGTAAACTGTAGTAAAACTTCTAGTATAGATAGTGAGCCGAGACAACAGTAGTAAAGTGCGCAGACTATGCTTTGGGACATGCACAAGATCGATAGCTCAGAGACATAAAAGTTTAACAAAAAAAACAAATAAAGAAAAAACCCACAAAAAACACGACGAGCATAAATCTCAATGGGACCTGCTTGGAGTCCTTTTTGGCAATCTAGTGTGCTTATATTTCTTATGCTTAAAATAGTAAAGCAGAAGGCAAGAAAAAGTATATGAACCCCTTCGGAATGACGTCTGGAGGTTTTGCATGGATTTGGGCATATACAAACTGTGCTTTCTATGTAGTCTATGAACGCTCATATAAGTCTCTAGCTATAGTAGCAAGAAACAACAGTTGCTGAAGCATAATACTTCACACAAACATTCAGATGTTGCATAGTTTATATGCACATAACATGTAAACCATTAACAGTGCAGGGAAGGAAAAAATTAGGAAAAAGTATGTGAGTCCCTTGCGTAATGACTTCCTGGCCTAATGGCGAGCCAGGATTCTCTGAGCCAGACTATCAGGTACCAGCCAATGTAGTGGAGTCATTAAGGATCCAGTTGCACTCCACAAAACATCACACTCCGGACGCATTCCAGGTGCGTTTTTTCTCTCACCATACTCCGTATCCCATGCCTTTTTGATATTTTGCTATGTTCAGTACAGTTCTTGTGCTAGAAAAAATGCAGCTTCTTCTTCTTCCTCTCCTCCTCTCCTCCTCCTCCTCCTTCTTGTGATGCAGAAAAAACCGCAAGGAACTGCATCTGGCGTGAACTCACCCTAAAGATGGGACTGCAAAGGATCATCAGGGATTTTGGTGATTAGGTGTTACTAAGCCCCCACAACAGTAAAATCAGTTGTAGATGCAGTTAAGCATTCACTTATGTGGAACCTAAGGGGTTAATCCTCGCATTGTGTCAAAAAAAAAAGGCTGTTTGATCCCATTTTCTCTGATCTCCCCTTCTTCCTGTGGTCCCCCTAACCTCTCATGATAGAAAAGAGGGTTTGGAGTCACCCTGCACATGCTCAGTTTGGAGGGTATTGTACAAAAACACTGAGTACTGGCCTATGATACTTTTTTTTTTTTTTCTATTTGCACTAACATACAATTTTCAGACAAGCTTTCGGAGTGTGTCCCCTTCTTCAAGGTCCAAGCAGTACTACTTCACAAAGCAGAATGTTAGTCCTTATGCCCACTGGATGTTTTTACAGCGCTGTTTTGGCTTTTGGTGGGTTTTTTTTTTGTTTTTTTCTACACAGCCAGTAAACTCCCCAGAATGTCATCCTATGTGTCCATGCACACACAGGCTTTAATCAGCATTTTTTGGCTGGAAAAAAACCCAGAACTAGTGGGGTTTCTAGAGGTGTTTTTTAGCTGTAAAAACACTCTTAACGCGTAAAACGCTGCAAACCGGCATTTTTGGACTTCTTTGAGCAAAAATGATTTTTTTGGGGATAAAAAATACTAAAAAATGCTGCGGCTAAACGCTGAAAAGATTGCATTCAAAAAAGTCTGACTCTTTCCAAAAAATGTAAAGGGTGAAAACGTGGAGATATGAGCGTGTTCCATAGGAAATCATGATAAATGGACTGTACTTTGTTTCTGAAAAAATGCGGCAGAAAAAAACGCAAAGGGTTTTAAAACCTGGGTTTTAGGCCTTTCACACGGGCGTTCCATTTTTTTTTCTCAGTTCTGTCACATTTTTTTAAAAGGGAAAAAGGATGAGTTTACATCCTTTTTTCATTGTTTTTTTCATCCTTTACATAAATTTTTGGTCCGTTTCATCGGTTTTACATCTGTTTTTGGTCTGTTGCCCATCAGTTTTTGTCCGTTCTGGGTTTTTTGCAGAAGAAAAATTGGTTTTCTTCCGTTCAAAAAACGGATGTTAATGGATGTCGACATTAAAGGGATGTAAAAAGATTTTCATCCGTTTACATCCGCAATCCAAGAAATACAGGGGGGTCTGTTTTTCATCCAAAAAGGACAGATGAAAACGGACATATGGATTGCCTGTGGAAAAGGGCCTTAGAGAAAAAGCAAAGACTGGGGGGGGGGTTGGTACCGGGGGCGGACTGACAACTCAAGGGGGCCCCTGTGTCCTTCCCCCAAAACTCAAAAAAGCAGGCAGTGGATTAGCATTCTCAGCCTGCAAAAGGAAGCACTGTACCAGGGTGGAATAACAACTCAGGGGGCCCCCGGCAATAGGGATCATGGGCCCCTTGTCCTTGCCCAAACTCAAAAAAGCCTATGAAAAAGGTACCAGGGGCATCCATGGGGCCCCTAGGACCCCGGGCCCTTGAGCATGCCCGATTTTTCCAAATGGTCAGTCCCCCCTGATTGGGACAACAGTCCACGGGGGGGGTCGTAAAACTTTTGGATAAGGGGTGAGGAATCCCATGTCCAAATTCAAGCCGTTATCTTTTGTATCAAATAGAATTATCATTCTTAGTTTAAAAGTTTTCCTTTCCTGGGTATTTTTGAAATTCCCATTTAAGAACTGAGATATTGAGGTTTCCCATAGGTGGTCCGGTGTGAGAATTGTGTCCCCCAGGGGTGGAAAGTCATCTTCTTCATGTTTCCTTGATGGTTTGTCTGTGCAGATTCATCCTTGTTCTCAACTCGTTGTTCCTGTTTCACCACGTAGGATCCTTTGCTGCAGTTCCATGCACTGGATAAGGGGCAACATTACTGGAGGTTGCAGGGCTGTATGATCTGTGATTACTGAAGGTTCCCTTTTGAGTGTCTGACCACTTTTTGATAGATTATTTGGTGACTGTTTGCAGCGTTTTTATTGCAGGGTTTGCTCCCATTATTTGTGAATCACAAGGAAGTTTTTCTACTGATTAGTTTCTGTCTGAGGTTGGGGGGGGCGCTTGTCTGAAAGCAGTGTTGGGGGTTGCTGATTTATTTCTGTATCGTGCGTATTGCTAGAGAGCGTTTTATTTTCGTTGAGAGAGTGCATGTGATCAGCACAGGGCCAATCCCGCACTGGTCCAGATTAGAGGGTCAGGGGTTTTGCAGCCTCATTGGGAGAGAATCAGGGGAGATAGAAAACTCATCCTACACGCTTGAAAACCAATGGAGCTCTGCTGAAAACTGAAAGAAGTCACTAAGACTGCTCTAACTGCTGATTGGAGGAAAAGTATATTTAGCAGTTTATATTTACTAATAATAATTTGCAATTTCCTTGTTATGTGTACTCGTGGATAGACCATATATCAGTGAATGCAGGGTCCGGGGAGACCGGATATAGTGAATGCAGGGTCCAGGGAGAGCGGAATCTAGTGAATGCAGGTCCGGGGAGACCAGATATAGTTGAATTGCGGGTCCGGGAGAGTCCAGATATAGTGAAGGCAGGTCCGGAGACCGTAGATATAGTGAATGCAGGTGTCCGGGTGATGAGGAGACCGGATATAGTGAATGCAGGGTCCGGGGAGACAGGATATAGTGAATGTGCAGGGTCCGGGGAAGACCGGATATAGTGAATGCAGGGTCCGGGGAGATCCGGAAATATAGTGAATGCAGTTCCGGGAGACGGAATAGTGGAATGCAGGGTTCGGGGAGAGTAGATATAGTGAATGCAGGACTCCGGGTTGGAGAGTGGAATATAGTGAATGCCGGGTCCGGGGAGAGCGATATAGTGAATGCGGGGTCCAGGGAGAGCGAAGATATAGTGAATGCAGGGTCCGGGCGAGAGTGGGATATAGAATGAATGCGGGGTCCTGGGGAGAGCAGATATAGTGAATGCAGGGGTCCGGGGAGGAGCAGATATATGTGCAATGCCAGGGGTGGGGTGGGGAGAGCGGATATAGTGAATGCAGGGTCTTGGGGAGCATCGGATATAGTGAATGCAGGGTCCTGGGAGACCGGATATAGTGAATGCAGGGTCCTGGGAGATCAGGGATATAGTGACATCTGCAGGGTCCTGGGTGAGCGGATTTTTTTTTTTAGTGAATGCAAGGGTCCGGGAGAGGCGGATATAGTGAATGCAGGGTCCTGGGAGACAGGAAATTAGTGAATGCAGGGTCCTGGGAGACGGAGTATAGTGAAATGCAGGGGTCCTGGGAGGACCGGATATAGTTGAACTGCGGGGTCCTGGGAAGAAAGCCGGGGTATAGTGATGCGGGGTCCTAGGGGATCGGTGGATATAGTGAATGCGGGGTCTGGGAGAAGATCGTATATAGTGAAATGCGGGGTCCGGGGAGAACCTTTGGATTAAAGCTGAATGCGGGGTCCTTGGCGACCGGTATATATGAATGCGGGGTCCGGGGAGACCAGATATAGTGAATGCAGGGTCGGGGGAGAGCGGATATAGTGAATGCGGGGTCCGGGGAGACCGGAATAATAGTGATCTGCTGGTGGTCGGGGAGAGAGGATATAGTGAATAGTGGGGGTCCGGGGAAGACGGAGATATAAGTGAAGCGGGGTCCGGGCGGGGAGACGAGATATAGTGAATGCGGGGTCCGGGGAGACGAGATATAGTGAATGCTGGGGGTGGGGGAGACCAGATATAGTGATGCGGGGTCGAGGTGGCGACACGAATATAGTGAATGCGGGTGGTCCGGGATGGACCAGATATAGTGAATGCAGGTTCTGGTGGTGGTTTAAGTAACACTTTTAATACATAATTAGAGCAGGTTCCAAAACTTCCTAAGCAAGGGACCGGTTACTGTTCCTTAAGCTTTAGGCGAGGCAGATTGTGGCCAGTGTAGTAGAAAAATGATGGCACCAGTAGGGGAAAAAGGAACTCCATCATTGGTGTAATAGCAAGGGCCAGATAAGAGCAAACAAAGGGCACCCTCTGGCCCCCAGGCCGCAGTTTGGAGACCACGATTTAGAAATTGCTTAGGAAGGGGAAATTTGCAATGGTTGAACTGGATGGACTTTTGTTTTTTCACCAGACTAACAAAGTAACTATGATTAACGCAGGCTTTAGGTTGTAATCACAAATTTAAATTACAGGCCTGTTCTTAGGGAATTGACTGAGAACTGTTTTTGCATGACTAAGTACTGAATGGCGTTCTGAATTGTTAGTTTTATGTTTGTTTCGCTCAGAGCAGACGAGGGACGCTGACCGCCTTTTTGATATTGCACAATGCACAGGTCACGTCACCATCAGAGGTCATAGGATCACTCCGGGCTTTAAGTAGGTTTTCTCTGATGATGCAGACGACAAGTCCCGTCTCCTGGTGCGATTTGGGAATTGAATCGCATTTAATGAATGTGATGTCATGTGTTTTAAAATTTGCGCGATTTCTAAAGTAGTTCTTTCATGACTTTTTCTGCAGTTTTGTTTTCGATTTCATATACAAGAATATAATGGAGATCGCACTTGCAAATGCAGAAATCATTGAAGAAACTCACAAATAGCAATAATATCTTCGCAATTGCACACAAATCACGCAATTTTAAATTGCAGGGGGTGTGACCGGTGACTAAGGCCTTATGCACACACGTTTTTACGGGCAAAAATCTTCTAGCGTTCAACTCCAAGCACTTTCCCACACCCGGGGAGCTGCAGGTGCCACGTACAGGGCCCCCCATACAAGGTTGAATAGAGATGTGCACAATGGAAAAAGTGGTTTCACTTCGATTCATTGGTTAAGTAAATCAGATAAGCCCGTTCTAAACACAGAAATTACTAAGCAACTTATTCCCTCCCTGGTTATCTCTCGCCTTGACAAATTGTAACTCCCTCCTCATTGGCCGACCCTCCATCGCAGGAATCCCCCCGATCCCCCCTCCCCCCGCCCCCTCCAAATATCACCCTCCTCCGTTCCCTCCCTCCTCACCACCCCCCTCCCCTCCTCCTACTCCCTCGTCTTCGAGTCCTGCTCGTCTCCAGGACTTTCTCCAGAGCCCCGCCCCTATCCCCTCCGAAACCGCTCTACCTTCACTCGCCTCCGATATCCCCAACCTTCCCCCCTTTTTTAGGCCCCTCCCCCTCGCAAACCTCTCTTCCGGGAAGCCTATCCTGCCATTCAGCTAATAATGGAATCTTCTAATCCTCCTACAAGTCCCATCCCCCACAGTTATTACCTTTAATCCTGCCGTATTAACACAGCACCTCCCTCTTAGTTTGTACCCCAACCCACCTCCCAGGATTCAGGGCCCAACCGTAACCCCTCATTGTATTTGAACTGTATTGTTGCTGTATTGTCCTCCGTTCTATTGTAAGGGGGCTCTGAACCAAACTGTTTTGGCGCTATATAAATCTGTATAATAATAATGATTAAAGGTAATATATCAGTTTCGAATCTTGGCAGAATGATTGCAACCATGCGTTTGGGTGTCATTATTCTTGAATGACACCCAAACACGCGGATTGTAAAACTGCGGCAGAATTTTCTACCCCCTTCTAAGAAAGATGTGACAATTGTTAAAGCCATTATACCCCCGTAACCCAAACTACATCCCAATTTGTCTCATGAATTATCACCCTATACTGTCCTCTCCACTCCCTTTCCCTTGACCTCCTGCTCTTAGCTTCTTGTCATCCTCCTCACCACGCTCATCTCCAGGACTTCTCTAGAGCTCCCCCATCCTTCTGGAACTCTTACCCCAATCTATCAAGACTATCGCCTATTCTGCCCTTTTTTAGGCGATCTTGAAAACCTATCTCTTCAGGGGAGCCTATCCTGCCCTCAGCTATAACAGATTTTTCTATTTTCTCCCATTAGTCCATCCCCCACAGTTATTACCCTTTTGTACCACCAGCCCTCCTCTTAGATTGTAAGCTCCAGGATCAGGGCATCTAACCCTCTTGTATTGAACTGTGTATTATTTGCTGTCTTGTTTCCCTCTCTATTGTAAAGCGCTGAGCAAACTGTTGGCTGTTATATAAATCCTGTATTGTGGATAATTCGTTTTGTTTGTTGTCTTAGTTATGTTAGTATGATCTCATTTTTTAGAATTTGTTTCCTATATTCGGATTAATTTCATATATTCGTTGTTTCGAAACTATTCAAATTTTTAGAAAGTAATTTTTGGAAGAGTTTATCCACACAGTTGGCAGTGCTAGTGCAAAAATATCATACTCCTAAACAAAAAATGATGTAAGTACTAAAATTGCTGATCAAATTCATGTGAATATGTGAAAAATCCATGAAATATTAGTTTTCAAGCCCTTATATAAATATTTGAAGGTCCATATCCCCAGTAAAACACCAAGTGATTTCACGAGGCCATTTCTAAAATATGGATGGATATGCAATTTAATTTTGGAAGATTGTTTATATTCATTTTAATGTTAAGTTGTTATTTCGGGAGAGTACTTATGCACTCAAAGTCATTACTGCTAGTCCCAACCCACAAATAGAAAATGGAATGAGCTGATTGGTACCGATATTGACTAGAGTCACGTGCATGCGAAAGTAAACAAATGGAACAAAATTTAATTTCGGATACCTTTGTTATGTTATTTTACTGTAGACATGTGTTCGATGGAAATTTTAAGTTTAAGATTGCATATTCGTACACTGAAGTATTTTATTTTGTCCATATAGTCCATTATGTTGTGAACGGATCCGTTTTGGAATTAAATTTTAGTTATCTTTGGCTTTCGTTTTGTCAGTCTTTGTTAGTTCAGATGGATTTGAACAGGGGCGGACTGCGAAATCATCAGACCCCAGGCAATAGGGGATCCTGCGAAAGCCCTGAGTGTGTCCTTGCCCAAACTCAAAAAGCCTATGAAAAAGGTTACCGGGGCATCTCATGGGGCCCCTACTGACACCGGGCCATTCGGGCAATGCCCGAGTACCTTTTCCAAATGGTCAGTCCGCCCCTGGATTTGAACAAATTTGCAAGATTTTTCCGAAATGTAGGGTATATATAGAGTGGCCTCAGCTACGCTCTAGCAACACTCAATGACGTGTTTTGCCTCAGCCATCAGGGCTTGGTCACAGAGGCGCCTATGTCACAATACCCGAATGGGCTGGGTGAAATGCTGTCAGTTAGTGAGGGTCGGGGCTAGAGCGGAGCTGAGGCTACTCTTACACCTATATACTTCATAGGTCTGGTTTTCTGACTCCGAAGTGGTTTTTGTGCTACGTGCTGCTCATTCATTTGCACTTGAGACACTGGATTATCCCCAAAATCAGGGGCCTGCTCCCATCATTTTCCTGTTTGCTGGTGGGGTGATTTGTATTCCCCATTTTCCAGTTTCTGAGTGGTGCCATTAAGCCTCATCCACGATTTTTCTAGAAGATGTGCTAGATTGATACTGATATAATATAATATATATACAGTTGCAAGAAAAAGTATGTGAACCCTTGGGATTACGCCCCTCCCCCCCCCCCCCCCCCCCCCCGCCCCCCCTTGGAGTTTTTGCATGAATTGGCATAAAATGTGCTGCTGAACGTCATCTAAGTCACAACAATAGAAGAAACACATGGTCTGCTGATGACATAATACTACACAAACATTAGATGTTGCCATGGTTTAATTGCAACATAACATGTAAACATTTCACAGTGCAGGGAGGAAAAACTATGTGAACCTTTGGACTTAATAACTGGTTGACCCTTGTTCATGGGCTCCCAGGTATGACCAGAGACGGTGTGTGACTGATGCAGGGAAACGCTAGAATTAGATATGTGATAAACATATACAATTTATTAACACTAACCATACAAAACATAAACGCAGTGCAATACTAAACATATATACAGTGCAAAAACAATACAAACCAAACCACCCACAAGATAACAGTACATACAAGCGATCAGCGTCGTCACGGCAGGCCGGGTCAATAGTAATTGGGCCAGGTAGGTAGCGGGGGGAGCAAAGCAGAGAATGGTCGGGGTCACAGGCCAAGGTTCAGCAGGTAGCAAGCAGGCGTAGATTAGTACAGAGGGTCAGGCAGAGGGGGATGGTCAGGGTCACAAGCCAGAGATCAAAAACAGGTAACCAAGCAGCGTAGTACAGAGGGTCAGGCAGAGGGACAGAAACCAGTGGTGTGCAGGGAAGGATTCAGGGCCCGGACAAAACACAACACTCAAGGCCAGAAGTCTGTGGGTTTGGCCATCCCATCCCCCCCCCCCCCCCCCCCCCCCCCCCCCCCCCCCCCCCCCCCCCCCCCCCCCCTTAACAAAAATACCCCAGCATCATCGTTCCAGGTGTTAGCTGGCTGAAAGGTTGAGTCTCTGATTGCTGGGAGCACCCGCTGGCCAGCCCTGGTACTGCAGATCAAAAGGAGGTGAGTCCCACCATTGTGGCCAGTCCATTCCATAACAGTACCCCCCCCCCCCCAAGGAGCGGCCTCAGGACGCTCCAAAACAGCTCCTAGTGGGCACAAAATGTTCCAACGCCCGGGTCTGGTAACTGGCGGGATATCTAAAGACTGGCACACCGGGCAGGACTCCGGGCAGAGGCACTACCGGGCTGGACTCCGGGCAGAGGCACACCGGGCTGGCTCTTCGGGCAGAGGCACACCGGGCTGGACTCCGGGCAGAGGCACACGGCATGGACTCCCGGGCAGAGGCACACCGGGCTGGACTCGGGCAGAGGCTACACCGGGCTTGGACTGACGGGCAGAGGCACACCGGCTGGACTCCGGGCCAGAGGGCTCACACCGGGCTGGACTACGGGCAGAGGCCACACCGGGCTGGACTCCGGGCAGAGGCACACACCGGGCTGGACTCCGGGCAGAGGCACACGGGCTGGACTCGGGCAGAGCACACCGGGCTGGACTCGGGCAGATGGGCACACGGGCTGAGGCACACCGGGCAGAGGCCAACACGGGCAGGACTCCGGGCAGAGGGCACATCGGGCAGGACTACTCGGGTCAGAGGCAATCGGATTACCAAGGGCGAAGAGCAGCAGGCAGCCGGGCCACCAGGCGGTTAGCTTAGGCAGCGGCAACCGGGCCCCCCGGGCGGATGTTAGCAGCAGGGGCCACCGGGCCCCGGGCGGGAGCAGAGCACGGCACCCGGGCCTCCGGGCGGAGCAGCAGGCACCGGGCCCCCGGGCGGAGCAGCAGGCACTCGGGCTCCCCGGGCGGCGCGACGGGCCCCGGGTGGGGCGACGGCATCGGGGGCCCCAGGGACGGAGCGACAGGTCTCGGGCCCCCAGGGGGAGCTGACAGGTCTGGGCCCCCAGGCGGATTAGGACAGGTCTCGGGCCCCCAGGCGGAGCGCACCACGGTCTCGGGCCCCCCAGGCGGAGCTTTAGGTACGAACAGGTCTAGGGGCCCCAGGCGGAGCGACAGGTCTCGGGCCCCAGGCGGAGCGGACAGGTCTCGGGCCCCAGGCGGAGCGACAAGGTCTCGGGCCCCCAGGCGGAGCGGACAGGTCTCGGGCCCCAGGCGGAGCGACAGGTCTCGGGCCCAGGCGGAGCGGCTGGGGCGCCGGAACCCAGGGCGGACTTTGGCGACTAGGTCTCGGGCCCCAGGCGGAGCGACAGGTCTCGGGCCCTCAGGGCGGAGCGGGCTGGCCTCGCGGAGAGGCGGGACCGGACCCCCAGATGGGAGCGGCGGGCGCCGGACCCTCAGGTGATGGAGCGACAGGTCTCGGGCTCCTCAGGCGGGTGCGGCGGGGCGCCGGAATCCCAGGTGTGGAGCGACAGGTCTCGGGCCCTCAGGCGGAAGCGGCGGGCGAGCCGGATCCCCAGGTGGAGCGACAGGTCTCGGGCCCCAGGCGGAGCGACAGGTCTCGGGGCCCCCAGGCGGGCCGGACAGGTTCGGGGCCCCCAGGCGGAGCGACAGGTCTCGGGCCCCCAGGCGGAGCGGCGGGCGCCGGACCCCAGGCGGAAGGCGGACAGGTCTCGGGCCCTCAGGCGGGTAGTAAGAGCGGCGGGCGCCGGACCCCAGGCGGAGCGACAGGCTCTCGGGCCCTCAGGCGGAGAGCGGCGGGGCGCCGGAGCCCCCAGGCGGAGCCGACAGGTCTCATTTTAGGGCCCCAGGCGGGAAGGCTAGCGACAGGTCTCGGGCCCCCCAGGCGGAGCGAACCAGGTCTCGGGGCCCCCCAGGCGGGAGCGGCGGGCGCCGAGTCATTCTGGGCAAGGACCGTGGGCTACGAGGGCGTCAACTGGCATGACGCGCTTGGCACTGGGTCAGACATTGGACCGTCTGGCTGGCAACGCGGGGGCATCGGGTCACCTAGGCATCCAGGTCATTTGGCTTTTCGACCGCGGGGCACCGCATATCTGGCAAGGCAGTGGGCTGCGAGTCTAACTGGTATGACCGCGCGGGGCATGGGTCAGGACATTGGATCGTTCTGACTGGGACATCTGGCAAGGCAGTGGGTCTCGAGTCAACTGGGGTCAGACATTGGATCGTCTGATCTGGACAGCGGGCATCGGGTCACCAGGCATCAGGTCATTTGGCTCAACAGCGGGCACAGCGGTCATCTGGAAGGCAGTGGGCTTCCGAAATCAACAGGCACGACAGTGGGCACCGGAGGTCATCATTGGTACCGGATGGTCTGGCTCGACAGCGGGCACTGGGTCACCAGGCATCAGGTCATTTGGCTTGCCAGCGGGGCACGCCGTTCATCTGGCAAGGCGTGGGCACCGTCTTCTGGGTCACCAGGCAATTGGATCGTCTGGCGTCGACAGCGGGCATCGGGTCACAGGTATGACAGCGGGCACTGGGTCAACAGGCATCAGGTCCATTTGGCTCGCCAGGGGCACCGCGTTCATTGGCAAGGCAGTGGGCACCGAGGTCAACAGGTACCGACAGCGGGCTCTGAGTCAATTGGCACGACAGCGTGCACTCGGATCAGGTAGGCCGGATCATCTCGGATCAACAGCGGGCAGCGAGTCAAACTGTGCCTAATAGGATCATCAGGCTGGATCAAGTTCATCATGTGGGGTAGAGGCATCAGGGGCTGAATGCCGGGTCGGGCTGAGTAGAGCTTTCAGGCCGGAGTAGAGGCATCAGGCCGAGTAGAGGATTCAGGTCACGAGTAGAGGCTTCAGGTGCTGAGTAGAGGCTTCAGGGCCGAGTAGAGGCTTCAGGCTGTAGAACCACGGATGAAGGCAGGTTCACAGTTTGGATCTGGCAGGCTAGGATGGTATTGGTTGGAAAGACATTTTCGCTTTTTTCTGGTTTTATCTATGGAGCACTGCAAGGTAAACGCAGGTCTGCAAACGAAATGGGAGCAGCTGGAGACAGAAGAATGGAGGATGGAAGTGCAGGAGAGGGAGCAGTTGCTACAGAGGGCTTTTTTACACAGGGTTAAAGGCTAGGATAGGTGCAGCGAGGTTGGGAACAGGGGGCGGACTGGACATGCGGTAGATAGCAGGGCAGGAGGAGCTGTTGGGAATGCATGGATTAGAGTGTTTTGAGGAAATAGATTAGAAGAGGGACTGGGTCTTTGTAGCTGATGAGGCTGGGTGCAACAAATCTGTCCATGTCTGCGTATGGGTTTGAAACAAAGCTGAGCTTACACAAAGCCTGTTGGTCAATGACTTGTACTGCGTTTTATACAATTCTTAGTGTCTGTGGTGAACATGTGGAATAAACGCTCCAGTAAGTAACCACATCATCCTCTAATAACCACACAAGGGATCTACCTGGTCTGCACTAAATGGTGGCAAAAATTCAATCCTGCATTAGGGGGGACCAGCTGAAACCCAACTCAGCCACAAATCCTCAATCAAAGGCTGCACCTCAGAGGACTCTGTGCCCTGATCTACTAGAAATCGAGCGAGCCGTTATACATTGTCTAGCAGTTCAGCCGGGGATACTCCTTCAGAGTTTGATAAGCATTACTCTGTCACTCAAACACTAGCAGATATAAATATTCAACTTCATCAAGATCCATCCTTCCCATCAACAAGCCAAGATGGCTTCCTGTGCAGCCACTTCTGGTCAGGATTGGCCTTGGTGTAATGTCAGGGCTCCCAGGTGATGACCAGAGGTGTGTGACTGATGCAGGGAAACGCAGACTTCAGATATGTGATATAAACAATACAATTTATTAACACTAACCATACAAACATAAACGCAGTGCAATACTAAAAACATAATACAGTGCAAACAAAACCAACCAAAACACCCACAGATAACAGTACATACAAGCAAGCGTCGTCAGGCAGGCCGGGTCAATATCAATTGGGCAGGTAGGTACAGGGGGAGAAGCAGAGAATGGTCGGGGTCACAGGCCAGGTTCAGCAGGTAGCAAGCAGCAGCGTAGTACAGAGGGTCAGGCAAGAGGGATGGTCAGGGTCACAAGCCAGAGATCAAAAACAGGTAACATGCAGCGTAGTACAGAGGGTCAGGCAGAGGGACAGAAACAGGATGCATGGACAGATACAGGGCCCCAGGACAAACACAACACCAGGCAGAGTCTGCATGGGTCTGGCCATCCCTTAAATACCCCAGCATCATCAGTTTCCAGGTGTTAGAGTGGCTGAGAAAGGTTGAGTCTTGATTGCTGGGAGCTACCACGCTGGCCAGCCCTGGTACTGAGATCAAAAGGCAGGTGTGAGTCCCACCATTGCTGGCAGTCCATTCCTAAACACCTCTCTTTGGCGCAGCAATAACCTCAACCAAACGTTTCCTGTAGTTGCAGATCAGACACCTGCACAAACGATCTGGAGTCATTTTGGACCCACTCCTCTTCACAAAACTGTTTCAGGTGTAGCAATATTCTTGGGATGTCTGGTTCTGTGAATCGCTCTCTTAACGTCATGCCACAGCATTTCAATCGGGTTGAGGTCAGGACTCTGACTGGGCCACTTCCAGAAGGCGTATTCTGTGCTGTTGCAGCCATTGTTTTGTTGAATTATACTTGTATGCTTTGGGTCATTGTCCTGTTGCATATCACCCATCCTTGAGGAGCTTCAGTTAGCGGACAGATGGTTGTACGTTTTTCCTGCAAAATGTCTTGATAAACTCTGGAATTCATTTTCCCATCAATGACAACAATCCGTCCAGGCCCTGAGGCAGCAAAGCAGCCCCAAACCATGATGCTCCCTCCGCCATGTTTTACAGTGGGGATGACGGTTTTGATGTTGGTGTGCTGTGCCTTTTTTTTTCTCCACACATAGTGTTGTGTGTTCTTCCCAAACAACTCAATCTTGGTTTCATCTGTCCACAGTATATTTTGCCAGTAGTGCTGTGGAACATCAGGTGCTCTTTTGCAAACTTCAAACGTGCTGCAATATTCTTTTTGGACAGCAATGGCTTCCTCCGTGGTGTCCTCCCATGTACTCCATTCTTGTTTAATGTTTTCCTTATTGTAGATGTGTCAAACAAAAATCTTAGCATGTGTCAGAGATTTCTGTAGGTCTTTAGCTGACACTCTGAGATTCTTCTTTACCTCCTGCAGCATTCTGCGCTGTGCTCTTGCAGTCATTTTTACAGGACGACCACGCCTAGGGAGAGTAGCAACAGTGCTAAACTTTCTCCATTTGTAGACAGTCTGTCTTACCGTGGACACATGAACATCAAGGCTTTTCTGGAGATACTTTTGTAACCCTTTCCAAACTTCATGCAAGTCAACAATTCTTGATCGTAGGTCTTCTGAGAGCTCTTTTCTGCGAGGCGTGGTTCACATCAGACAGTGCTTCTTGAAACCAGTAAACCCAAAACAGGTGTGTGTTTTTTAAGGGCAGGACAGCTGTCAGCAACACATCCAATATCATCACACTGATTGGAGTCAAGGGTTGGCTCACTCCTGGCTCCAATTAGCTCTGGGAGAAGTCATTAAGCTAGGGGCCTCACATATTTTTCCTCCTGCAATGTGAAATGTTTACGTGTTATGCGCAATTAAACCATGGCGAACATCTATGTTTGTGTAGTATTATGTTCAGCAGGATACTGTGGTCTTCTATTGTTGTGACTTAGATGACGTTCAGAGCACGTTTTTTGCCCTATTCATCGCAAATAGCTCCAAGTATATCCCAAGGGGTTTCATCATACTTTTTCTTGCACCTGTATATACATACATACATACATACATACATACATACATACACACGCCATATATATATATATAAAAATTTTATTAAAATACACCACGAAACAGACG